CAGACGTTCTCAGTAACCACAAACGTTCTCAGTAACCACAGACGTTCTCAGTAACCACAGACTTTCTCAACAACCACAGACGTTTTCAGTAACCAGAGATGTTCTCCAGTAACCACAGGCGTTCTCCTAGTAACCACACACATTCCCCCAGTAACCATGTTGACCACAGGTTCCTCACTGATGGACTCCACATGGTTCCTCTGTGACTCCTCCATCAAAGAGTTAACTCCATATTCTCCACAGTGACATGTAGAGACAGCAGCGGAGGGTTCATGAGTCAACAGCAGGTTTTAACTGCTTCATCCATCGTCATCTTCAACATCAGCTGCAGTCACGTGACACACCCACACATCCTCACACCTGAACAGCAAACCTTCTCAGCTGCCAATTAACATCCGACCAATCAGAGCGCAGAGCTCAGACACGGACAGACAGCGGGACAGAGAGACAGGTTACCAGGCCTGCTGCAGTCATTATAACACACACACACACACACACACACACACACACACACACACACACACACACCGGGCTCGTCCTGAGAATGTTCGGTGTTTCATTGTGTGATGCAGCTGCTGAATAAAAGAGTCAGATGCAGCTCCGCAGAACACACACACACGCACACTCGCACGCGCGCAGTAGAACCAGTAGAACCCTTGGAGCCGTGTCTCACCTTAGACCATCGATCCGCTTTGATTCCCGTCACGTTTCCTGTCGAGCAGCAGCAGAGCGCAGCCGTTACAGCGACACACCTGCCTGTTGTCCCGGGTTACAGAGGCTCAGTCCTGGTCCCGGTCCTGGTTCTGTGCCTAGTCCCGGTCCTGGTTCCGTTAGTGCGGTTTAAGATCTGTTCTCCCTCAAAGAACAAAGATCTGCGACCGTGTTCGGTTTCCTGAAGGAGTCTGCTGCTGCCGCACGGTGTGTGTGTGTGTGTGTGTGTGTGTGTTACAGTTTATGTTACAGTCTGTGTGTGTGTGTGTGTGTGTGTGTGTGTGTGTGTGTGTGTGTGTGTTACAGAGTGTGTATGGCAGGTGATCGGTGCCTCCAGGTGCTGTGTAGAAGCTGCTCTGATCGATATTATTACATAATCGATGTATCAGTGATGTGACGTCACTGCACGGGCTGATATTAAACGTTTAAAGGGCCAGTCTGAAGTTTTATTCTGTTTAAAGCTGCAGTCTTTCAGCTCTGTCCTCAGAATGAGCTGTTTATATCTACACAGGGAGCAGGTCCTCGTCTACAGAGATCACCATGTTGCACCGCCATGTTCCTACAGTAGCCCAGAACGGACAAAGTTTCAGATGGTTGTAATCTGTGATCTGTAATCCTCACCGGAGCTTTAATGATAATGTCTGATGGATCTGACTGCACTCAGTGTGAACGTGACGACAGCTCGTATCTGATCTGCTGTGACTCTGAGTTTAACCTTTAACCTCCAGAGTCAAACCTGAGAGGTCAACATGAGGCCGACGCCTCTGATCGAAGGCTGATCCACTTTATATTGTGGACAATATTTCCATATATTGATATTGTAGTGTGAGTTTATACATTAAGAGGAATTCATGAACAGACGGCGTTGGCTAGCTCGTTACAAAGGTGTCTGATGTTACGTGCACATTAAATGATATTCTGTGTGGACACGCGAGTTTTTACAGTTCCTATGATGATGAATTACCTTTCAGCACGTCAGTAAGTCAGTTCATGTAATCCAAACACACACTCCTCTGCTGAGCGTCCAGCAGCCATTACAGCCTGAATATACACATTAGAATTAACCAAAGACGAAACTTCATAAACTCACGGATTTAAAAAGGACTCACTGCAATCAGTTAATAAATATAAACATGACAGTGCTTTGTACATTTTATTTGGCGCTCACACCGACACCTCGACTGTCCCTTTCTGCCACCAGTTTGGCTCCACCCACAAAATACGTCATCAATGTTTACAAACACAAAGAGTCTGTAGAAGAGGTTTTTTTTGACAGCCTCAGTCTGTAGAGTCGTCTCCTGCTATCGGGTCACGTTGTTCGTGGACAAACTAAACTGTGAGCTGTAGCTCAGCAGGTGGAGTGTGTGTCCTGTGGAGGCGGAGTCTTCAGCAGCAGGTTTCATACACACCTGGGGAGAACCTGTACAGGCTGAGAGATACAGTACAGGCCAAAAGTTTGGACACACCTTCTCATTCAATGCGTTTTCTTTATTTTCATGACTATTTATATTGTAGATTCTCACTGAAGGCATCAAAACTATGAATGAACACATGTGGAGTTATGTACTTAACAAAAAAAGGTGAAATAACTGAAAACATGTTTTATATTCTAGTTTCTTCAAAATAGCCACCCTTTGCTCTGATTACTGCTTTGCACACTCTTGGCATTCTCTCCATGAGCTTCAAGAGGTAGTCACCTGAAATGGTTTCCACTTCACAGGAGTGCCTTATCAGGGTTAATTAGTGGAATTTCTTGCTTTATCAATGGGGTTGGGACCATCAGTTGTGTTGTGCAGAAGTCAGGTTAATACACAGCCGACAGCCCTATTGGACAACTGTTAAAATTCATATTATGGCAAGAACCAATCAGCTAACTAAAGAAAAACCAGTGGCCATCATTACTTTAAGAAATGAAGGTCTGTCAGTCCGGAAAATTGCAAAAACTTTAAATGTGTCCCCAAGTGGAGTCGCAAAAACCATCAAGCGCTACAACCAAACTGGCACACATGAGGACCGACCCAGGAAAGGAAGACCAAGAGTCACCTCTGCTTCTGAGGATAAGTTCATCCAAGTCACCAGCCTCAGAAATGGCAAGTTAACAGCAGCTCAGATCAGAGACCAGATGAATGCCACACAGAGTTCTAGCAGCAGACCCATCTCTAGAACAACTGTTAAGAGGAGACTGCGCCAATCAGGCCTTCATGGTCAAATAGCTGCTAGGAAACCACTGCTAAGGAGAGGCAACAAGCAGAAGAGATTTGTTTGGGCCAAGAAACACAAGGAATGGACATTAGACCAGTGGAAATCTGTGCTTTGGTCTGATGAGTCCAAATTTGAGATCTTTGGTTCCAACCGCCGTGTCTTTGTGAGACGCAGAAAAGGTGAACGGATGGATTCCACATGCCTGGTTCCCACTGTGAAGCATGGAGGAGGAGGTGTGATGGTGTGGGGGTGTTTTGCTGGTGACACTGTTGGGGATTTATTCAAAATTGAAGGCACACTGAACCAGCATGGCTACCACAGCATCCTGCAGCGACATGCCATCCCATCCGGTTTGCGTTTAGTTGGACGATCATTTATTTTTCAACAGGACAATGACCCCAAACACACCTCCAGGCTGTGTAAGGGCTATTTGACCAAGAAGGAGAGTGATGGAGTGCTGCGGCAGATGACCTGGCCTCCACAGTCACCGGACCTGAACCCAATCCAGATGGTTTGGGGTGAGCTGGACCGCAGAGTGAAGGCAAAGGGGCCAACAAGTGCTAAACACCTCTGGGAACTCCTTCAAGACTGTTGGAAAACCATTTCAGGTGACTACCTCTTGAAGCTCATGGAGAGAATGCCAAGAGTGTGCAAAGCAGTAATCAGAGCAAAGGGTGGCTATTTTGAAGAAACTAGAATATAAAACATGTTTTCAGTTATTTCACCTTTTTTTGTTAAGTACATAACTCCACATGTGTTCATTCATAGTTTTGATGCCTTCAGTGAGAATCTACAATGTAAATAGTCATGAAAATAAAGAAAACGCATTGAATGAGAAGGTGTGTCCAAACTTTTGGCCTGTACTGTATATTCTCCTGAGTGGACGTTTGTGCCAAATTTAAAGAAATTACCTTGAGCTGTTGTAATGTGAGACATCGTGTTCACGAACATGGGACGGACATAACCAAACACATACTGTCTGCGGAGTGGAGCCAGAAGAACTCCTTCGCTGTTTGTTTCTCTCCACTTTAAACTTAACTGCTGATTTCTCTTCTGCTCAGAACGTCGCCACCAAAACCGCACCCACACACTGAGGCGCCACACTACTGTCATCACATGACCACAGCCTGACAACACTTCCTGTCTTTTGTCCAAACACTCAAACCGTCCAGTGTTTGGTTCAGAGATGGCGAGCGTCCAGCAGTCGGGACGGACAAGACTGGCGTGACAAGGTCCCAAGGGTTTCACAGGACGGTCAAATCTGTGATTCTGAACTCAGTCAATAAAACAACAGGAAGCAACAAGCTTTTATTCTGACAGTTTATTACAACGTAAAATACAAAACAAACTTTATTTACACAAACAAAACCTGAACCATCAGGTCCATTACACTGAGGACCACAACACGTCTCTGGATCCTGGAATCTGGACCAGTTCACACCAGTTAGACCAGTTCAGACTCTTTAACAGAAAACAACAACCAGTGTGTGTGTGGTGTGTTCAGGTGTGTGTTCAGGTGTGTCATGGTGCGTTCAGATGTGTGTTCAGGTGTGTCATGGTGCGTTCAGGTGTGTGTTCAGGTGTGTCATGGTGCATTCAGGTGAGTGTAGGGGGGATCCTCCTCCACAGACCTCCACACAGACAGTTTTTGATCCAGCGCTGCTCCCACTGCTTCATGGCGTTCGTCTTGTTTGGAGAGCGAAGCATTGTCACGCAGCCGCACCTGAACACATCACACAACATTTAACATGTTTAAACATGTCTCATGTTTCCTAGAACACGTCTGAAGGCTGCAGCTGATGGAACAGATGAATGTGCTGTGACTTCACTTCCTGTGGACTCACCTGGTGCAGGCCTTGCTCTCCTCAGTGGGACAGACACCCATGTGAACGCAGCGCAGGTTATCCATCTTCTGAGAGCCGGGACTCCTGCACACACACACACACACACACACACACACACACACACACACACACACAGATCAGGGTCAGGGTCAGATTCAGATTCAGATTCAGAGTCAGGTTCGGGTTCAGATTCAGGTGTGGCTCACCTGGTGAAGACCTCCAGGGGGGCCGCGGCGCCCCCTCCTGGCAGAGACGAAGCCTTTCCAAACTGCAGCCTGAGCGGGTGTTTCCCCTGCAGCTTGACGATGACGCCGTCGTTCACGGGGAGCCAGTCCATACTGGGAACCAGCAGCTGACTGGGCAGCAGGCAGCACTCGTCTATCAGGGTCTCATCAGGATCCTGGGGTGGTCCGTCGTCCCGTGCTGAGACAGAGACCGACAGATACAGGTGAGACACT